TAATTTGAGGGCCATTTCTCACGCGTTTTGCCTTGGGTTAGACTCAAAAAGCATCTTCAGAGCATCAATATCAATTCCAACATAGGCAGTTCATTTAACTATTATATGTGATGTACATTTTTTTGGGGGTGGTTAATGAAAGTGTTCCAAAATGAGACATTAATTTCTTGATGACCTAATAAAGGTCAAAGTACACACTAATGTTAGTAAAAGTTTTACTCTGTTTATGGAAACCACCTCACAACACTCCTTAAAGGTCAAGAATCTGCAAGATGGAAATTTTGTCTACTCGTCAAATTTCTTTATTTACATGTATTGTGTTTACCTTATCTGACAAATGATGAAAATTAAATAAATTATCACAAACATCCCTTTTATTCGTATCCGTAACTCACCTGTGCAATGCAGACAATACCTAGATAGTACAGATAAGTCACTCTGAAGGCTATCTTGAATACAAAGAGAACATCATAGGCACCCACAGAAATATTTTTTTTGGGGGGGGGGGGCAAAATATGTATGTAGGGGATAAGCTTTTAGAGTCAACAGACTAAAATAATATGTGTTATGTATGCAAAAGCACAAAGTTACAGTTTTAATAAATATTACTAAAAATATTTAGTTTAACTACGATGCTAAGTTTACATTATAATACATGGAATTTTTTGTGAAATATAAGGGGGGGTCAAATGCCCCCTGTTGCCACTTCCTGCAGGTGCCCATGGAGGACACCTTATTTGAAATATGATGGGACTGAGTATTTGCACAGAGAAGGAGACCATTTCTTCACTACTGAGCCACATCACACAGTTTATTCTCAGACATATGTGTGTGTGTGATACTGCTTATTTCAGCTGGTATACATCAAATATCAATGATCGCAGCTATTCCTCAGGTAACTATGCCATGATGAACTGATGCCTCACTACATCAATACTTCAGTGTAAGAATTATACACCACTCAGTAAACATTGAAACAAAATATTATTAGTTCCATAACTAAAAAATAGACTCATTGAATAACATGTATGTATGGGGTACACAATATTTATTTCATGGTTACCCTTTGCATGTTATATATTTACATTCTAAAATAAAAGGTTTGGACACCTCAACCTATGTGAAAATAGTTTCAAGTATCAATTATATAAATATAATAGTTCCTTTCTGCAAATACAGTACAAGATGGTTCTATAATAGGGAAACAACTTTTATAGTGAATATTTATTTTTTGGGCATTACTTCTGGATAAAATTCCCTTCTCACAGATATACATCCTTTAAAAAAACATACTTAGCTTATAAAACTGATATATTCTGAATTACATCAAAACAATTGCAACAATAATTACAAGTCAATTCAAAATAAAACAATTTCTTTCAAGAGTTCATTTTTAAACTAAAGCACACATTTACTGTACTTTTTAGATACTAATTTTACAAAATACTATTAGTACTTTAACTTAGTTTATACCTTTCAATCCAGCTTTCAGATCCTTTGCACCAGCTTGTCCAGCAGCCCATAGAACAGACAGACACACAGGTTGACGATTTTGGTACGACTTCCTAAAATCACTACACTGTGAAAGAAGATATTTAAAATATTCACTATCCTCTTGTTAAATTTACTTCTCTTACTGAAACATTAATGTAGTATTTTATAAGTTAAGTCAGCAATTACCAGTATCAATTCATTAGTCTTATCCATTTTTACTTCAAGAGGTACTTCATGCTGAACAGTAGAATGAGTTCAAGCATTTTCCAATATGCTTCAAAGATCAGTATTTTAAGATTTAACATATAAAATATACTTTCTAGATTTTGCTAAATATTGATTATACATCTAATAAAAAATCAAAATTGCACTAACATGTATTCATTTATATATATACGGTATATTTTAACAACTTACATTTGATCAGAAGTTATTAACACATTAAAAAAGAATAATTATACGTGTAGAGCTATTAAACAAAAAAACATGTTTTTTGCAAAGTATATAAAACCAACCATCAAAAGTTAACCTTTTCAAAATCTCATTGTACATACAATAGTATAAAGGTCAATGTACAGACTAAATGTGTGCTTTGTGTTTCAGAAGGAGAAACAGTTTCAAATCAAGGTCAGCTGTGGTTCTACAAAATTATCACTAGATTAGCATTTAAAATAGCATATAAAATGTGATATAATGAACAGAAAAAAAAATAATGGTTAACCATAAGATATGAAACTAAGAAATGGGACCTTCTGAATTGTCACAACTTCTTACCTTGTTTAAGTTTTTTAGGATTATTTCTGGTTTTTCATGGGCTACACACTGTAAAAATAGTCTATAACCACATGTTGGATGTCCTGAAAATTGGAAATTAAATAAATACCTGAATATTATTTTTCTTCACTTAAAATACTAGTAATTATTCATTTCAAATCTTTAAACATGTAATATGCAATCAAAATAATCCTTGCATCAGTAATATTTAAACAGTTAAGGGCATTTTACATTAGTATGTTGAGAAAGAACCAAGATCTTTCCCATATGGGTGAACTATGGCTAATGGATGGTCATAATAGAAGAGTATCCTTCCACTACTAGATGTCCTCCTACAGCATATTTATACCAAGTTCTGTATTTCTTGTTGCTACAACAGCAGCAACTGAGATGTTTATTGAAACAGTCTCGAAGCCATTCTCAATAGACCAGATCTAACATCATTTGGCTTCCGTATTTTTTGGTTTCTCAAAGATGATTTACCCGAACAATACTTTACAGAAAGCCTAAGTTCTTAAAGCATCTTCATACAGCTGCTTCTTAACACTACAACTGAAATGTACAAAACTGGTAATGATAAAGCTTGTGGAAAAATAGAGAAAAATGTTTTATATTTGAGAGACTAGGTTATACTGAGAAGTGATGTTTGGTTGACATCAACAACAGTGTTAATATGGTGGCTGGTCCACAAAAATTAAAATGCTGTTTCTTTCTGAACACTCTTTATACTTTTATCTTTGAAAGTTCCATGCAAAACATTTTATGTAGAGCTGTTCCAATGCCCCAAAACAAAATGATACATTATCAACACCAATGCACATTCTTAACAGATATGATATAAATTGGCAATTAAACAAATTACACCACTAAATTCAGCAGTAGTGCCACTAGAATTCTTGAGTCTTGACGAAATGCTCTGTAATAAATGGTTATTCATCAATTCAATTTAATTGTGAAAATATTAAACAGAGCCTAAAATAATAAATTATACATAATTCACTGTACAAAATGTGTGGTGATAATGAAGTTTTCATTGGATTCATGTAATTTCTTTTAAACAATTTTTCTTTGCAACATTAAAGCTATTATGGAATACTGTGTTATAGGCTATTTTTTCTTATCTCTTTCTCAGTTTCTTGTCAAATTGTCTTTCCAGCCTCAGTTTTGATGATATAGTGAGTTTATTCATTAAAATTAGAGTACTCCAGACAGATGTAGCTATCAGCACTATTTTTCTTGATTCTCTAAAGTGTTGCCCTTTATTAGGTTTGATTTGAATTTTGTGCAAAGCTAAACAAGGGCTATCTGCACTAGTTATCCGTAATTTAACAGTGAAATACTAGAGGGAAGGCAGCTAGTCATCTCCATCCATCACCAACTCTTTTACCAATGAACAGTGGAATTGACTGTCACATTATAATGCCACTACGGCTGAAATTCCTTATTCATCATCCTTCCCCCATCATATGTTTCATTCTTTGTCACAGGTTTTACATTTACAGCATCTTTATAATGATATATAATCTTTCATAATAAACATAGCTCTTCACACATCCAGCCTTATATCCCAAAACTCAAACCATTGCTCAACCAACACCATAAAACTTCCCATAGATCTTCAACAACATTCTACTATGTCTCTACTAGTAACTAAACTAGTAATAGACAACATTCTCACTTTACAAGCTAATTCAGCCATTAAAGAAAATTTTACTAAAAGACCCGTGGTTGCATATATATATATACAACCATCATCTATAAAATTTATTGGTTTGCTCCAGTTTTGAAAACACTATTTACTCAGTCACACTCCCATGATGTTCTCCTTATAAAAGAACATGCTGTGTGACATGACAATGTCGATAATAGTACTTTGATTGTTGAAAACCAAGATCATTGTCAGGTTATAAAGTGTTTCATGTATCTATCCAAATCTTTCATCAGCATAAGTTGTGATCTTTGTAACATGTTATACTGGTGAGACAGATTGCAAAGTTGACACTTTATGAACATAGAAGACATTATTATTGGTAATATTGATAAGCCAGTCTCCTGACATTTTTTTAAATGACAATACAATATTTAAGAACTCAAGTTAGTTGTCTTATGGTCTGCTCCAGTTAAACAATCTTCATATGAAAGCGAGGAACATCTTATTTACATTATAGAAACAGTTTCCTCATTAGGATTAAAAAAAACAACATTTTTTTTCATTTAATATTTTCTTCTGATTATTTTTTATTATTCAGTGTGAACTAAATTATTTTTTTATTATACAATGTGAACTAAATTATTTTGTATTATACAGTGTGAACTAAATTATTTTGTATTATTCAGTGTGAGCTAAATTTTATAACACACCCTACATTTTCTATATTTTCATGTAATTAATGATTTATATATTTTAATAATTCATACACTGTTGCATTTACATGAAGGTTTGGTTGCAGACATATTTAAGGTTCAGATAAAATTACATATATCTAAGTATCTAAAATAAATAAAAATAACCAACTTCATTTGCCATTTTATTCATTGCCATACAATTTTATTGAAATGCTATTGATGCATCATAAGAACACATACCTAACATTGTGTTGTAAAATTCATTTAAAATGTTAGCTAATAATCAATATGTTTTAAATTAATTGGCAGAATTTCACATTATTACCATATATCCATTGTTAACTTCACATACAGTGATGTTTTGGATAAGAGAAAATAAGATAGGTAAGAAAGAATGACAAAAAATTAAAATATTCATTACATTTGTAGAAGTTAGAGGAATTACGCACAATTGAATAGACGATTGAAGGTGATGAGATGGTTATCAGTAGATGGAGACAACACAATAAAATTAATTTTGTACAGGAAAATAAACAAAAGAATGAACTGCCCAAAACTCATTTAAAAACAAATGAGATAAAACACCAAAAAAAATTAAAAAGCTGAAAGAAAAAAATTAAAAAAAAAACAAATGAAATGGAAAAAAAAAGGTTCTAGTTTTGAGTAACTCCAGTTTCCTTTCTTTTTTGAAGTTTCCATTTTAGAAAAATTGGTATATAATTGAAATTAAAAGTACAACAGTACCTTTGGTGATGTCTTGAACCATTGTATGTAAGCAAAAGTCGGTAAACAATTGCAATGTTTCAGGAGTGCATCTATTCAAAGTCTCATTCAATATTTTTCGAATATCTCCTGGTAGCAATGAAAGTGGGTAAGCTGAAGTAGAAACAAAGAGGTGTATAATACAGTGTATTGAATACACAAAGTTCTATGTTTATCCATATGCACATATTAAAGTCAGTACAGAACAAATGTCAAATTCTCTTACAACTTTTTCTGTAACATGGTTTGCTGTATAATTTAATACATAATTTAATCTCCTTATTAGTATTCTACTTAAATAACTCAAATATTTTCTATACAAATCTCCTCACAAATACATGTATCATTTGTTGAATTGTTTCCTTACAAAATATCACTTTACGTTAACTAAATATTCACCTTTTCATCTAATTTTCTTTCAGAAGTTTATCATACATTAACTATACTGAGAATAATCACACTTTATAACCATGGTAATCCAAGTATTGAAACCAGTTCCTCTATTGCTGATGATACTAAGTATGATGGCCATGACTGATCAACACCACAGCTTCTTGTATAACAAGCTTCTATGACGGACGGGGATATCAATCTTACATCACACATTCTGACAAATTTTCCACAAACTCTTTATGTGATCAATGGCTTTCAAGACCACACTTAAACAGATCAAATGTAGAAAAGTCCAGTACAGTTGCATTAGGGACTTGACAGAGAATCACTGTTATTTTAATTTATTCAGTTATCGTTCTTGTGAATCTTCATTATTTTCAAATCCTTATTTATTATACATATATTGATTAAGGTAGCTGTAAAATTGATTTTTACAGTTGAAATCTTCCCTTTCGTATCTTAAACCAAACTTTCAAAGCTTTTGCAGGACCAAGATTTAAAAATAACCATTTCTTAGGATTTCATTACTCATATTTTTTATGAGCTCATTTTCCTGACTTTCAAGGACCTGCATAAGCCCTGTATGTTACTTGTTGAAGAGCATTCATTCTACAAAATGTTTTATTCTATCAATATCTTCCATCAAATCATAATAGCATTCTCACTTAAAGGTCAGCTTCTGCTTAACATATAGAACAATCCCTGATAAAGGCTTATGGTAAAAATTCTGGATTTAACTAAACAGTTTTAACCTGGAAGTAAAAGTTCTTGCTGACTGAAATACAAGTATTCAGCACTCAGACCTGGAAGTAAAAGTTCTTGCTGACTGAAATACAAGTATTCAGCACTCAGACCTGGAAGTAAAAGTTCTTGCTGACTGAAATACAAGTATTCAGCACTCAGACCTGAAAGTAAAAGTTCTTGCCGACTGAAATACAAGTATTGAGTTTTAAAGAATCTTAGATGATTTACTTTACTTAAATATGATCCCAACTATCCTACAAATTCCATTGATTCAAAATTATTTTATTAAAATGAGATTGTTAGAGAACTAAAAATAATATGTTTGCTTGTTGTTTTTTGTTGGCAAAAAGGTTTGCAGAAAGGCTTTCTAACAAAATGCATATATTAGTATTAAATGCTTGTAAATTATACAAATAAAACTATAGCCATTTATTTTTTGAAGGTTTTTCATAATGATTATATTATTAGCAATATAGTTCACTTGAATATTTTCTAATGTAAGTTTATCAAAACAAGCTATATAATTCATTAGATAAATTATCTCCAGAATTTTCTTAACATCAACACAACTCATGCCATGCATAGGAGTGAATGGTATCCTAAAACAGTTGATCAGAAATTTTAAAAATATAATACATTCACACCTAATGAATCTTGAACTTTCACCAGCTGCGGATTGATTAACACACTTGTAAATGATCACAATGTACACTGTAAAATGATTATTTGAGACAGTCACACATAACTAAATAACTTAAGTACTTCCTGGTCACCAGGTAAATGCATATATATATATATAATTAACTTTTTAAATGATTTTTGTCATGAATTTGGGTCACAAGTCAATATTCATTTTCAATGAAACCATTTCAAGTGCCAATGATATAAGTTACTTGTAAAGATTTTTGAGTAAAACTTGATTCCATTTGATTATATAATTCACTTACTGAAAGGCTTTCCAGTAAAAACTGGATCAGAAATATCCACATTCATTTTCTCATTTATGTAGGAAGCCAGATCTTTCAACCAGACAGATGGGGTGTTAGGAAAGTTGGTCTGGACAGTCTCAAGCAGTGAAAGGAAATCATCAGAATTCAGCTAAAATGTTTATTGAAAACATTAAGTATAAAAACTTAACCTTCAAATCTATAGCATATAAAAACTAATTCTGAAATCTTTACTGTAACACCCGTTAGTTACAGGTACTTACATGTTAAAATGCAAAATTCAGGGTTTTTCATACATTTCATTTTTAACAATTTCAATTTTAATACTTTAACATTCAGGCATGCATTTTTTTTGTAAGGAAAAGAAGCAATATGATGTTTCACACTCATAATATATGACTTAATCTAATCTGTAAGATACTATGTCATATACATGTAGACACGCATAACACGCTCCTTTAACCCTCATAAATAACATATCTAATTCAAGAGTAACTAATATGATGTCTGATATGCACTAAACAATCATTCACATCTATATCAAATTTATGACATTCATGCAAATATCAGTAATGTTCATGTATATCTATAAATACATTCACAGCAGTCTGGTAATAAATTAACACAAGGAAAATTATGTGTATATGACAGTGTTAATCAAATAAATGTGCATACTGGTGCTTAACCAAAATGTCATACCTTTGGAAAAAAGACTCATTCATTTCTTTAAAATATATATTCCCATCACAGCAAATTTTACAATCAAGAAATTTCTGTAGTGGATATTTCCTAGCTCTTCAATAATATTCTTCATCATTAATTTTTTTTTTTTTCAGCATACATAAAAGCTTACACAAGCTTCTCATTTTGAAGACACAATAATGATTGATCAACCCCCATCAAACCCACTGCTATAACAGTACTGGGAGTCCATGCCAGTCAATACCACAGTAAGCACTAATTGAGAAGTGGGAAATTACCATATTCTTCAAATGAGAAGTGGATAAAGACAGTTTGATAACAATATTCAACCCAAACCATGGTTACCAATGTTCCAAAAGCCTCTTTTCCCTTTTAGGTATTGTTTCCCCTCATCTCCTGTATATTTGGGATCATTTTCTTGCTGAAAGATAAACTTCTAGGCAAAAAAGGCCTTGTTCCTGAAGCAATGACACAATGGATAAGAATCTGATTGTATGTCCAGCAGTAAGTGTGCCATAGGTTATGTGTAGATGACCAATACCATTGATTGAGATGTAGCCTACACCTGTGCTGATCCCGTTGTATGTTTCACTGTAGGTGTTATTGGTTGATTGTATTCAAACAAATTATTGTTCATCCTATTGTTCAAAAACCTGATGTCCATTTCAACCTTTCAGTTTGATTATCTATCCTAAGCAGCTCCGCATCCATAAAGCCACTTCATATCAATATGTACCTTACTGTTCTGGAGATAACATTTGAATATGTACTTACAGAAGAATTTGGGCTTTCTACTGCAACCAGTTCTATTATCAAAGATAAAAATTTTCACATACCCTTTTCAGTATTTTCAAACAGCTCTTATTGAAATATGAAATTTTGCTTTTATGTAGACTTCATGAGTCAAAACTGATTTGTAAACATTTGTTATGTGGCATTTCTGTACTTAAAGCCTTAAGTACACACACCACACTACTGTTGAAAATAGTATAACTGCCTTTTTTAGCATTATAATGGTGTGACGACAGCCAATCACAGTATAAGCTATTAACACATGATTGTAATTTGGTGCAGTTGAATTTCATAAAAGAGAGGGAAGCAATCATAAAATATTTGCATTTTAAACTTATTTTAAGCACTGTTTTCAAAATTATTTCGATTCTGTGATCAGTTGTCATCCAAGCAATTATTAACTGCTGAATCATTATAAGGCCTATAAAGGTACAGGTAGTCATATTTTACCAAGTAATAGTAGTGTGTGCTCTCATGGCTCCCAAAACTCAAATACCATACGACCAATGCGTAGAAGTCGAAGTTCTGATTGGTCAAGGATTATATACTCCATGCAAGACTTCACATTTCAGCAGGAGGTACATTGAAGGATCTAAAGAGAATAAATTAAACCAGCACTATTAATAACAGAATTAAAAGTGATTGACACAAAAAAACAAACTTTCCAAAAGCAATATTAAGTGTTTCAGAGTATGTTCTTTATGAGACAGACAACAGTTGTGTACAGATTTTGCTAATGAGCTTGCTATAAACACAGGTGTGAATGTTATCTTAAGAACAGTAAGATTGACATTAGCACAGAATGATCTCACTAGATGCATAGTCTCTGAAACACCACTGCTGACAAAGGTTAATCAAACCAGAATGTTTATACTGGTATCAGACAACAAAGAGTTGAATAGGCAAAGCTAGAGACATGTGCTCTTTTACATAGGAATACAACTTCAAAATGTTTGGAACAATCGATAGTTTGTTCAATGGTAGAGGAGAACATATCCTAGTCAATGTACATCTGAAGTACAGCATGATGGTGGATTGGTCAATAATGGTGTCAATAATATAAACAAAATTTATACCACCTTGACTAATGACATTTATGAGCAATCCATCATGCCAGTCTCTTAGGAAAGAGACTCATTGGACAGGAAGTCCTCTTTTAGTAACACAATAATTCAAAGCATAACAAATGTGTTCAAATGACATCTTGATGGATGGAACACACACAATCACGGATTGGAATACACAAATTCCTGATATAAACATTCACGAGGTTATACGGTACCAAGTAAAAAATTTGAAGCTCAAACGGCACCAAAGAACTTGGATGAATAATTGGAAGTAATCCAGGGGCACACTCAATTCATCTGCTTTAACTTTCTGCAAAGCAATAAACTGACTAATTAGTGTTCCCCACTTTTGTCAACTGTTCTTGACGAGGAAGTGGGTGCAAAGGAAAGAGTGATATCAACACAGTAGAGTAAATGCAGCATGTGCTTAAAATATTTTGCCACAATGCAGAATGTTTCACACACACAATGCATTTTTCACTTTTGTCTACAATAGCATTGATCATATAATAATTATTCAAGCCACTTATAAAACAAGGGTTATCCCTGAAGAATTTAATTTAATTCAACCTACATAGCTACACAATAAATCAGTTATCAATAGCCCTGTCTATATTACACATTCATAATAACCATAGAATAATTACATACAAAATCATGTTACTTTTACTGTAAAATTGTAATCCTTCAAAAATAGATTCTCAAAGCTTTTTAATTTTAACTCAAACACTGCGGCGCCTACATTTTAACTCAAACACT